TATTTTAAATCCTCTTCACTTTCAGCAAGCAAGATTGTGTCATCTGCATATCGTAGATTAATGAGTCTTCCTCCAATCCTGATGCCACCTTTTTCTCAGATTATTTGCTCAGCATACAGGTTAAATAACTATGGTGAAAGAATACAACCATGTTGCACATCTTTCTTAATTTTAAACCAGTGTTTCTATGCTCTGTTCAAACAATTGCCCTTGGTCCATGTACACAATCCTCATGAGCACAATTAAGTGTTCCAGAATACTCAAACTTCGCAATGTTGTTCATAGCTTGTCATGATCCACACAACTGAAAGCCTCTGCGTAGTCAATAAAGCACAGGTAAACATCTTTCTGAAAGTCTCTGCTTTGAGCCAAAATCCATCGCACATCAGCAATGATATCCCTCGTTCCATGTCCTCTTCTGAATCTGGCTTGAACCTCTGGAAGTCCTCTGTCAATGTATGCTTGCAGCTGTTTTTGTATTACCTTTAGTAAAACTGTACTCGCATGGGATATCAAAGAGATTGTCTGATGATTTTCGCATTCCGTTGGATCACCTCTCTTTGGAATGGGTACAAATATGGATAGCTTCCAATCAGTCAGCCAGATAATTTTCTTTCAAATTTCTTGCCATAGATGAGAAAAGTGAGGCGGCACAGGAGGCACTCATTTATAATTATATCTACAATCCTACAAATCATTTAATACAATTTGCCTATTTAAAAGAAGATTTATCCTTAATAAGGTACTTGAATTCATCATATTCACTCAGTTAAAAAAATATGTTTCAAATATATTTATCAAATAAAAATATTTTACATGAAGATTTATAGTCAACTAGTATGGCGCTGTGTAGTGCTGTGGGTTAATGTGCTGGACTGCAAAATTGGTTTGAACCACAAGGTCAGAGGTTAAGCTCACCAGTCACTCCTTGGAAACTGTATAGGTGCAGTGTAGCTACGGGTTGAAACCGACTTGACAGAAGTTAACAACAACAACAACAACAGAGTGGCACTGTAAGTCAAGCAGTAGATGGTTAATCACCAGGTTGGAAACTCACACTTAACAGTTGCTTCTTGGAAACCCTAAACTTATAGGGTCACTATAAGTTGAAACTAGTAAGATGGGACTTAACACAACAGGGCATTTATGAGAATGAGGTGGATCTGTAGAGTAAGTGCTGGATTGCTAACCACAAGGTTGGCAGTTCAAGCCCACCAGCTGCTCCGTGGGAGAAAGATGAGGCTTTTTACTCCCACAAAGATTAACAGTCTTGGAAACCATATACAGGGTCTTTATATGTCAGAGCCAACTTGATGGCATTTAAGAACAGCAGGACATTTATAACAAGCAGGAGCCCTGGTAGTGCAGTGATTAAGCACCTGACTACTAACTAAGAAGTTGGAAATTCTAACCCATCAGCCCATCCATGGGAGAGATATGTGACAGTATGCTTCTGGACAGACTTACAGCCTTAAAAATACTGTGGGGCGGGGCGGTTCTATTCTCTCCTATGGGATCACAGTGGATTTGGTTTGGTTTGTAACAATGTTCTCAGAGTGTTCGCTAAACATCTGATAAACAAAAATCTCACTTATATAAGACAGTCAAGAAATGGAGATTTTCTTATTGTTTTATCAAAGAATGTTGCTATTGTTATATACTATCAAATAATTTAAAGGTGCATTTTCTCTAGATTAAATTAATCCTACCAAAAACCAAACCAAACCAAAGCTACTGCTATCAAGTTGATTCCAAGTCACAGAAAACCTATAGGGCAGAGCAGAACTGCCTTGTAGGGTGACTAAGACTAGAAGTCTTTATGAGAGCAGGCTGCCACATCTTTCTTCTGCAGAGGCACAGAATGGTTTCCAACCTCTGATCTTTGGGTTAGCAGCTCAGTGTTTTAAGCACTGTGTCATCCAGGCTCCAAATTAATTCCATAATTATCCCGAATTATTATAACTACATTTTTTTGTTGTTAAGTACCATCGAGTTGGTACTAACTCATAGTTGGTACCGACTCCACCCTGTATAGAGTTTCTGAGGCGCAACTGATGAGGTTAAACCACGAACATTACAACCCAGTGCATTAAACCACTGCAGCACATCCTCATATAATTGCTAATAGTAAAAAGGCCTCAAATTAAATTAAATTTCATTTACCTGGCATAGACAGTACTGCAAACACGTTAAAGGACTCAAATTAAATTTCACTTACCTGGTATAGACTGTGCTCCAAGCTTTTTAAATGTTTTTAGACAAAATTCTTCTGCGATAAGCTTAGAATGAGAGAGAAAAGAAAAAAGTTAAAACCATTTAATTTTAAAAACAAAACACCTCCCAGTTAATTCAAATATAGAGTCCTAGTATGGCACTGTAGAATAAGCACTGGGTGGCTAATCACAAGGTCAGTGGTGCAAACCCACGAGCTGCTCCTTGAAAACCTTAAAAAGTGTCAAAATGAGTCGAAACCAACTCAACAGCATACAACAACAATAAAATAAATAAAATAAAAATAATTTCCCCTTTTTCTGTTACAACTATGTTGTCAAATCCAAACACAAAAATCCTACTCCCGAACAATTCTTTACAGTGAGGATCATTCCCACCCCCACAGTACACATGGTTGACAGGGATGGGCAACTTAGACATTGGCTACCCAAAATAGGGGGCTATAAAGGCAAAAAAAAATTCAAGCTTCGACTTTCGTTATTGAAAGATTCACTG